CCCCCCCCCCCGATTGATTGGATAAAAAAATTTTAGACAAAAATAGACAAAAAAGGTATTAAAGTAAAGAAAAAATAAAGAGAAAGTAACTAAGCTGATGTCCTGTCCTTTCGTTCACCATACAAATACGCTACAGCAAATTAAAACTACATTAAAACCTTACTAAAAAATTTTTGCCCCCTCCCCCTAGAGAGTTAATCGTTTTTTTGCAACCCCCCCCCCCCAGAAAGTTTTCTGCGGGCGCCCATGTATGTATATTAAGTTTGGTCGACATCCGTCTATTCATGTGGCAGTATTTGTTTATCATTTTATTTTAGAGCTCATATAGGAAAACAATTGCATTTTGGGCCCCCGGCCCAAAACGGTATATAGTTTCGAAATGAAACCAGCTTAAATTTTATAAGTAGGCTGTAAGGAATAAGTCTGCCAGATTTCAGGCTTCTATCTACAGGGGAAGTTGGAAAATTAGTGATGAGTCAGTCAGTGAGTGAGCGAGTGAGGGCTTTGCCTTTAATTAGTATAGATATATTGCTTTCCGTTTATGCAGGCTTTGTCAAATTTTCACCCCCCCCCCCCCCCCCAACCATTGCTCTATATTACATTTTATAAAGGATTTTTTCCAAACACTTTGTTTTGTAGGGCTGTTCAAATTTTGGACCCAGTTCTCCCGTGTGTTGTTATCTACGGCATTGGCTGCTCCATTCGAGTTGGGCCACTCATTCATCCTCAAGCTGATAGGCGGAGTCGCCATCATACCCGTTGGGGGTCTTGTTGGTGTACTCGGCTACCAAGTAGTTGGTCTGTCGTGAACTGATAGGCGGAGTCGCCATACACATTGGGGGGCTTGTTGGTGTACTCGGCTACCAAGTAGTTGGTCTGTCGTGAACTGATAGGCGGAGTCGCCATACACATTGGGGGGCTTGTTGGTGTAGTCGGCTACCACGTAGTTGGTCTGTCGTGAACTGATAGACGGAGTCGCGACACCCATTGGGGGTGGGGGTGGGGGAGGTCTCGTTGGTGTACTCTGTCGTGAAATGTTAACTTCTTGATACATTTGAAGAGCGTTGAAAATATTTTTGCGAAGTACTGATACATTTATTTATTGAAAAGTAACATTTTTAAATTGTACTTTAAATGTTCAGCTCCTGTGTTTAATAGTCTTTTTTTTAAAATTCATGCCACGACCCTTTAATTCAGTTCCTCATGTTGAGGTGACCCCCCCCCCCAACCATAACATTATTTTCGTTGCTACTTCATAAATATGTGTTTTCCGATGGTCTTAGGCTACCCCTGCGGGTCGATTTAGACAAATCTTTAATAATGCAAAAGTGAAAAAGAGAAGAAAAAAAAGTCAACATCTGAGCTTGTGTGGACAGTCGTGCATTGTCCCGTCAATGTTTACAAACAAGTTGGCGGAATGTTTCGTCTATCTCCTTTTCTTAAGAAATCATGGAGGTTACATGATCCACCTAACCTCCCCCCCCACCCAGTGGCGTAGCGAGGGTGTTTGGCGCCCGGGGACAAGATTCGCGCCCGGGGACAAGATCCATTTTTTGCGCCCCTTTTTCTTTTTTTCAACTCTCAAACCCATTATTTTCATCAATAAAATAATATCAAAGCACATTTTGGCGCCCCTAACTAGCTGGCGCCCGGGGACATCTGTCCCCCCTGCCCCCACCACGCTACGCCTCTGATTTAACGTCTTATACTCCGTCTCACTCTCCGACTTCTAAATACCAGGCATTTGTCCCGATCGTCACCACAATACACGATGACCACACAATCTCCCACACCTCACTAGACTACCTGTTTAAATAGCATGGAACCATTTAATGGTTCACACAACCAATAGTAGTCATTCAAATGGGACACCTTTAGTACCCCAGCTCCCATCTCGATTACTCTGGCCCGGAGAATTTTCTGTCACATTATTAGGCCTATCATCCCACAAAGGGCATGAGTTCACTGGCGGTGCTCACCTCTCTATTTCACCTACTTTGGTCCCGTTGGTGGGGGCATGGACAATTTTTTTACAATGACCAAATAGCTACACATTACGTTGCTTTTGGTTTCCCTATCCATCTTTCTCAACGCATCCGATAAACGCGATGCCTCTAATGCTCAAGCAACAGAAAGAAGGAAAAGATAGTATCCGATTTTATGTCATCCAGGTTCCCAAATGATTGCTTTGCTGACGTGCTTAAAACATAAATTACTGCTTCTCCTTGTCAATCCATCCACTCCTTAGCTTTTGTGACAACCCCCTTTTCCATATTACAACTTCTCCTGTGCTTTCGGGCACTGTTCTAGATCGTCGAAATCTTTCTCAAGATAAATCAAGAAATTAGATAGTTTGGATAATTAACAAAACACACGGTTGATCTAACTTGTAATTCGTTCATAAGCGTGACTAGTTATGGGCAGGGTTTCTTTCAGCTATATCTCCACTGCCCCCCCCCAACCAGGGAAAGCCAAGTGCCCCCCCACCTTCCCCGAGAAAAAATATGTCCAACAATGAAGTGCCCCCCCCCCGGGAAATTTCTGAAATAATCCCTGGTTATGGGCCTTTCCGTTCATTATTTGTATTACAGGATTACATGATTAAAATTTGACCAGCAGCTTAGGAAGGGGGTGAGGTGGAGCAGCATCTTATTTTCTTTATATTGAGGGGCGGCATTTTCCGAAACTTAATTGTTTTTTCTTCATGGAAGTGGGCAGGGAGTCGGTAAAATTCTTTTCCCACGTTGGGTGGCAGTAAGCCTAGTTAGGCCTCTGGATTTGACCATTGTTTAGGAACTACACCTGTTTTGTCTTTGACGCCTGCCCAAGGTCAAGATAAGGCAGGATGGTAGCCCATGGATATGCTTATAACAACCCCGTCCTGTAAAAATTCATGTTTTGGCGGAAACGATGACAGCAAATGTCCTCATGTAGCGGGGGTTGCTTTTCTCTCCATTCTGTTCTTAGTGAACGAAGAAAAAAAACAAAAACCACTCAACAATAGAAACTCAGTCTGAGACCGCCAAAATCATAAAAATCAAAGGCCTCAAAATAAATCAAAGCCAGACAGATGCGGATCATTGCAAACAGAGCTAGAGTGAAGGTCGCAATCACACATAATAAGAACCACACATTGAAAGATGTCAAAGAGTTTGGGTACCTTGGTCAGGATGGATGGTGATCGAGAAAAATCAATTGTAGGAAAAAACAAATAATGAACTTTTAATGATGTCACTGACATCCAACCCTCTACAGCAGTGGTTCTCAACCTTCCTAAAGCAGCGACCCTTTAATACAGTTCCTCGTGTTTTGGTAACCCCCAACCATAAAATTGTTTTCGTTGCTACTTCATAAATTTGTTTTCCTATGGTCTTAGGCGACCCCTGTTTGAGAGTCACGACACACAGGTTGAGAAGCGCTGATCTACAGGGATCGAACAATCTTGGGATCCAAAAAAAGTCCAGAATCTTTAATTTAATAAAAAAACAAAAACGAATGCATAGAGAATTCTTATCCGTGGATCAGTGTACTGGAACATAAAGACTACTAGCACATCAGAGTAGATGCTGGAATTTTCTTGACCAAATGCCTGGTAAGACGCTACAATTATTTCTGGTTAATGTACAGTTAATAGCTGATTTGACAGTCCGGATCAACAACCATTGCAGAAACTGTACAGGCACAAGTTGTATTTTAATCACCTTGATCTTTTCAGCTGAATGGGTCAAGTTCTAACAGACACTGTTAGGCTCAGAAGAGAACTTCTGGAGACACCTTTGTAGAACATATAGGATGCCACAAAGCCCATTTTCCATGTCAACAATCGGATGGACAGCCCTGATAAAAAAAATAAACAGATTTAATTTGTGTTTTTGAGACCCATTCCTTCTCACATATTTTCTAAGAGAAATAACTAGTTAGAGTTGTATTTTTAGAAAAATGCATGCACGATTTCTCAGACACTGCAAATTGCAACCAAAACAATAACATAATTCAGGTAAAGTTAACCAAATATTTTAAATAAGGTAAATGACAAATTTCAAACAGCAAAATACTAAATTAAGTGAGTCATTAAAGCATTATCTTTATTCACCCTTGAAAGTATCAAGTTATAACTTGCTTAAAAGTAAAAAAATTTAATACAAAGAAAAAAAATGATATGGATTTCAATTTCAGGTTTTTAAGTTCTAACAAAGCCAAGAAAAACAACAAGCATTTTGTTTAATTGTTCGTCACCTTGTTAACTTTTTTCACTTCTATTCTTTCAGTTCCTTGTCATTTTTTGGCCACCATAATTATTGCGATATTATTTGTAACCAAATAATTGAAAAAATATTCAATAACAAAATCCATTTTCTTTGTACAGAAAGCAGTTACTTACGTGTCACTAAGGATTTTTGCAATACATGAAAAACTGAACAAAGTGAACATTCTCTAGATTAAAATGCACACCTTAAGAATGAGGTGACAATGGTGAGAAACTGACATTTGAAATATACATTTTTATGTGTGCCAAATCATTTGCTTAAATACAGTTGACTTTAAATTTAAGTCACATACTTGAGATAGAGCAATACAATTTTACAAACAAATTCATTGTGTCTTCAAAGAAATACACAGGAAGAACCAATACTTAATTCAATGGCAAGGTTACAATACAAGAGTATGACAAAAATAATTGATCAATCTTATCATATGAAGTAAGTGTCCCTACAGAAAGCTATTAGAGAATATTTTGGTTGGGTTTCATTTCAATCTAAAGACCACAAAGTGTGTGATCAGATTGAACAGAATTGGCACAGGAGATCATTTACAGCAGGTATGACATTTACAGTAGATAATTATAATTGATACATACATATGTGATAGACTGTTTTTATTCATATAAAGCATTACAATTCTATAGAACGTTTCTTAATAATACAAGATATCTATGCTGAACACATGCATAGCTTATAGTGGCATAATACATGCTTAAAGGTACATAAATATTTGGTAGGTTCTGTATAATGTCAGACATTTATGGCACGACAATTAAATTCTTTTCAATCAATCCTCTTGACATAGTTCAATTATGCTTAGGTTTATTTTGTAATAAAATGCCCCCATAAAGAAAATATTGGCTAAAATGCTTTCAGGAAAGAATGACTATTAAGGTTGTACCAAACAGTAAATTTTCCTTTTCTGATGAATACATACAGTATTAGATCTATATAACAATTCAAATGCATATTTTTAGTAAGTTAATGCTCCCACAAAAGTTTTGACATGTCAAAGAATGCTTCTATTCAATTACCAATGATTTGAAAGTGCTACAGCTTTTAACATTAATACCGGTAATGAAATGTCTTGGAAACAATTTGAAGCTACGAACTACTAAAACTTTTTTTTAATGCAGCCAAACATGACAAATAGCAATTAAAGTTTTTGTAAAAGTTTTTTCCTGGTGATATAATCACAAGTTGTATTTTAAACATAATAAACTATTCAGCTGAGTGGGTCAAGTTCTAAAAGACACAGTTAGTCTCAGTAGAGAACTTGGGGTACAGCCCTATCTACGGCTGACATCATTACTTGACTCCTACCAAAAACTGTCGGGTTTTAACTTTCTATTTCTAGTCTGACTGTTTGCAGCAAATATGTGGAGATTTACTAAGAGTGAAAGACAAATGGTATTTTGTTACGTTAAAACCGCTAAACTGTATATTATTAATATTACCAAATAAATATGTGCGTTTTAAATATCCATCCTAGCTTTAAATAATACCTAAAAATTAATGTTTTTATAAATTAATTATTGTATAATGGAACATTTAGACCATTGGTAATTCCTCTGAAAAATCTTAAGTTTAGTTTACACTCAGATGATTAAATACACACCTTCATAATTCAAATGCCATAAACTTTTACTGTTGTTGTTAATTACTCCCAAGTATAAAAATAATAAGCATTGTAAATTTAACAAAAAATTCCTTTTAATAATAAATGATAGAAAAAGTCAACAAAAACAAGGTCCAATGAAATGAATATTCACATTAAATAATTTAAAGCTCTTATCTGAATTTAGTTGATCAGGTCTTTGAAATGGTATATTATATGTCACATTTATTTTAATGAGGCTTATGGGGGAACCAGCTTCACAATTTATTCTGTTCTGGAACAACCAAAGGAAGATATTTTCATTTCGTCATCAACACATGAACTGTACACAAGGATCTATTATATTATATTGTACAGACATCTGGGTCTTGCACTGAAGTAATATTCATTATACCGGTGCATCACAGAATTAATAATACTGAGACTATGCAAGCTCTGGTATGTGATGTTCACTAAAATATAACTTTTTCACAACACTTTTAATCCACAGGTTATATACAGAAACTTTGATTTAATGACCTTAAAAATAACACATGTATATATTAAATCAAGAAAAAAATAATTGGAGATCAACATGATTTGTACCAGTATTAAAACATTATTAGGCCATTAACATTGATTCGGTTCACAATATATTCAGACTCTGCCACAATTTCAATCTTTTAAAAAGGTGTTATTCTGTATCATCATGCTATTTCATTAACATAGGATACTTTTTTAAAAGTGGTTGTGCAGAGTGCGAAATGAAGTAATTCTACATTATTAGAAATGTTTTTTATAAAAGAATCCACAATTTTTTAGAATTATATTATATATACATGAATATTTGACAACTCTGTCCAAAAAAAAACAAACAAAAAAAAAACAACAAAAGCTCTTATTACTTATAAATTAATATTAAACTGACCACATTAAAACAAAGTGCTTTAAAGAGCCTCTTTAACAGAATAATTTGACAGCATAATGTGGCAGTATGCTACATTTTGTATAGATTGAGAAGCTTTACTTCTTAATCTATAGATAACATGATACAGTAATATGTTTGTGTTGCACTGGAGGAATACTGTATAAAAATATAAGATCATTAAGCATAATTCTTCTATCAGATCATTATATTATATTATATCATGCATGCTGTAAAAATCAACATAATGTACATCTAGATGGGGAAAAAACAAACAGGTTGAAATCAGTGGTTCTCAAGTGTTTCGCGAAATTTAAGGGGAAATTATTTGAAGAGTTGAAGTGCACATTTATAAATTATTTACACTTTGTGTTAGTCAATAAGATATTGACAAGCAGTGACAATGACATTTCAAATTATTCTGAAATGATTTTTTACCCATATACAACCATCACTTATGCGTTTTATTAACAATCAGCCTTAGATATTAAAGTGAAATAGATTTATTATCAAATATGTAATTTGTAATAGCCATCTATTCATAAATATTTGTATAACTGCAATCATAAAACATGCATTACAATACAATCTAAACAAGCCACAAAGCTCATGCACCCATACAAAGATATTTAAAAAAAAAAAAAAACCTGAACAGGATCTGAATCTGTGCTTTTTGTATCATTAACAATTTATAAGTCAAATTGTCTGTTACTAATTTATTTTGCTGAAGAAACATAAATCCAATGGCTCATGCTGGATAGTGACCACATTTAGCCTTTGAGTTGAAGATTTAACTTGTAGAGTGAGAACCAAGGATAACTGTATCAGCAATACCAGTTACCTCTTACAAATAGAGATATACTGTCATGCCAAAACTAACAAAATAAACCAAGAAGAAACACTTTAAAGTAAAATGCTATTGCCGGTAATACTTTCTATCAATGCGTTTCATAACCAAAGTATTTTAATATTGAAGGAGAAGAAATTTTTTGTTTAAATCAGCCACTAAAAGAAGAACAAGATTAAAGTCTCCTATGATGTACAGAAAATGATGTAGACACTAATGACAAATTTTCAATCCTGAATCCAATTATGTCAAACGAGATGCATTGGAAACATCACTTTAGCTACACAGTGAAATAAGTAGATGTCTGTGCAGCAGAAATTGACACCTTTAGATGTATAAATTTATATATTACATTTACAGGCACCAAAAAGGTTAACTATATTGAATATATCTAATGGGGCTCGCAATTTAAAAAAAACCCACTAATTTAAAAATTCACAACAGAAACATTAAATTGTCCTCAAAGTGATTAAAATCACAAATATAGATCTGTGTTATGAAATAATATTCTTTACAAAGATTTGCAACAAACAGCTGGTAGATAAGGAATGCTCAAAGTTAGTTATCAACAAAAAAGCAAAGTAGAAAACCAGTCTCAGAAGTCTTGCAGGAGCTTAGAAGCAAACATAATTCTCTGAACACTTTGCTGGGGTAGTCACAAAATCAATAGCGCAATCGCTGGGAGATTATAATCTGGTTCAGCTTTTCTTCTTTAGCTCTCCGTAAATGACACAACTGTGGAGTTTAATGAAGAGGAACAATTCATTTCCTGATAAATTATTTAATTCAACAGTGAATATAGGATTAAAGCCTTACTTGTAAGAGTCAGCTATGGCTTATTAGCTCACCACCCTTAAAGTTAAATTCATATAATTTTGTTATCAGTACGGTATCAAAGAATTCTGCAGACTTAAAACTTTTCATGAAAATAATAACAGTAGATAGTGGATGAATTAAACTTTCTTTAGGAATATAAATTTCCAGTAATGTTTACTTAAAATAAAGTATACATTATTTAGACTTTAACTTCCATTACACATTGACTTTCAAAGCTTGTTAAAATTTGTGTTCAGTGTATAATTCGTAATTAAAAATTTCACAACTTTTATTGAAAACATTTTTTAAAACTATAACTATCACAACTTTTATTGAAAACATTTTTTAAAACTATAACTATCACAACTTTTATTGAAAACATTTTTTAAAACTATAACTATCACAACTTTTATTGAAAACATTTTTTAAAACTATAACTATCACAACTTTTATTGAAAACATTTTTTAAAACTATAACTATCACAACTTTTATTGAAAACATTGTTTAAAACTATAACTATCACAACTTTTATTGAAAACATTTTTTAAAACTATAACTATCACAACTTTTATTGAAAACATTTTTTAAAAATATAACGATCTGATTTTTATGGAAATGAAGGATGTCAACAAATATTAACTGTGAATTTCTATAGCAAAATAGCTAAAAAGAATTAAGACTCACCGTTCTCTTTTCCATAAATGTTTTTAGAAATTCATCTAAATCAAGTTCCTCTGAAAGAGAAATAATGGTAAAGGACATGTGTCACAATAATAGCTAATATCACTTCCAATGTAATGATGAAGAAACTGGAGATATTCTTAGCACAACATAACCTGTAATTATCGAAGTGTTGCCATGGTGTTATTATTCTAAATCATTGTATTAAAAATAAAAATTTTTTTTTAAAAACATTGTTAGGTTTATGAAACCATTCGATGCATGTTAAGAAAAGTCTCCATCTTGTTCACTTTTTTAACAATAAAAGAACAGTCTATAAGTAACCAAATAACAGCACTGTTAAATAAAATTTAGACAAATTATTGAATGAACTTTGAAATAGCAAACCAAAACAATGAAAGTTTTAAATTTACTTTCTAAAAATTTCTCAGCAATGATCTCCGACTCTTCATCTGCTTCCATAACTGCTACCTTGAGATTGGTCTGTATATGAGATGGATGATACTGATCTGTGAGAGCCATGTGTCGCTCACAATTCTTTTCAAAATCCATCTTTGATTGCTCTAGCTCTTCATTCTTTAAAAGTGTTTGAGTTAAAAGAAGTTAAGGTTAAGTTAAGTTAATGTAGCTCATCAATGTTTGTTATTTTTTTTAAAAATTGAGTAAAAAAAAAATACATTAATAACTAATATGCTAAACAAAGAAATGCAGTGCCTCTTAAAGATCCATTACAAAAAATGTAACAGGTATTCAAGTTAGGTAAATATAAATGAATTCAAAATTTTTTTTTAACCCATGATAAAATAAACACTAAAATAAGATTAAATCAGACAATAAAAACTCACCTTTGCTATTACTAATTTTTTAAGTTGTTCAATTTCAGGTTTCTTTGATAAGTTAGATTCTAAGGAAGAAAAAAAATTGAAAGCACATAAGTCTATAGATATTTTTTAACTAATTAATAAAATTGAGTCTACTTCTTTAACATGTATTAACCCTCTGGAGACGTAAGGGCCGATCTATCGGCCCAAGGTTGACTAGCGAGAAAGACAAAAGTCCAAACCATCGGCCCAATAAATTGAGGCTCACGATTGGCTGGCTTGGCGCTTTACCAGCGAATCAAAATTAGTCTTACGTATTCCTGCACATCCCGGCATTGTAATGGGGACGTTCGTTGATGGTGAACTAATTTATTTGTGTGCAGGAATTTTTGTGTGTGTGCATAGTTATATTGTGAAATTCAAACATGTCTGACAGCGACTCTAATCAAATTGTGCTAAGTGATTCTGATTTCTCGCTGTCTAGCAGTGAATCTGACATTGACAATGATGAAAACAACCAGGAAAGTAATTAAGACATCAAAATGATTATGTTGTGAATCCTTGGTTTAGGATTAGGGGTTCTGAATTTTATAGAGATGACCCCTATGAATTTTTAGAAAAAATAGAACCTATAAATATGCCTCATGGGATAAGCACCCCAGTTCTCTGGTAATAGTAGTGTTCGTTGCTGCATCCATATACTGGCATCTGTGCGTTGGGGGAATGGTGTTGAGTACTTTATGCTAATTTTTACATAAAACATCATTAAAATGTTTGTGAGAGAGAATAATAATAACTAATAAGTATGCAGACAACTTTCTCAGTAACACCCAGCTCAAATAAACCATAATTGGGTGCACAATGGTGAAAAGGACTGCTCTGTCTGTAGCAACCGAAAAGTACCCCAGGGGCAGGAAAAGGAGTAGAACTCTGTGCCAGGGGGGTCTAAAGGGCCTCAATGGGCCTTATTTCCCAAAACACATGTGTTAGGATCTATTTATCCTTCATCTATCAAAAAATTCACACAATTTACACCGGTAAGTCATGTTTATTCTCAGTCTAAGCAAAAATTGTACGCATAAATTATGCAAATCGGGATAGCTCATTTGCATAAATGTTGAAATTTCTGTTTGATTTATAAATATTGTATTAGCTTATTCAATTTCCTAAAAGAATATATATAGTTTTATATATGGAAAATAAATATTTTATTTTTTATAATTTTTTTTTGCAATGTGAGTGCCGAGTTCGTTAAAAAGTGCTCCGTCTTTTTGGCACAGACAGCCCGAAAAGGCTCCGTGTCCAAGGGGTTAAACACTTCATAAATTATATATTCAGTGCCTGAGTTTTAAATTTATTTTGTTTAGTTATCTGAGAGAATATATCTGAGAGAAATATTCTAAAATATAAAAATGTTCCTGCTGGTTGTTGTGAACTAGTTTGTTGTATTTTACTTGATATTAGAATTCTAGTGATAAGACTGTTAATTTTTTGGTTATTGCAATTTTATGATGTCATCAACGAAAGGGGGGAGGAATGTTGTGAACTAGTTTGTTGTGAATGTTGGGTAGGGGGAGTCGTGAATCGTGAGAGTGTTTTGTGAGTTGTTTGTGTGGTATTATAAAAGGGATGTGTGTTAGCTAGAGGTCAGAGAAGAAAGGTAGAAGAGCAAGAGAATTGTTAGTCGTTGAAAGTTGTCAGTTAAGAGTTAGTCAGTAGCGATAGGAGCGAGTGGATAATTGGTAGTTGGACTGATGTGTATCCTGTTTTGTAAAGAATCTAATAAATATTATATATTGTTACACTGGACCTTGTGTTCTATTTGAGAGATTCATACACCTTAGACAACGCAAGAGGGCCGTAACATTTCAAGAAAAACAAAGGTGGTAACACTGGTATTGTTGGCAGAAAGTAGTGTGGAGTATGGTTTGTATGTGAAGATGTTGAGCATTGTGTGTGGTGTTTTAGAGTGTGCTGTGTTTCTTGTTTGATTCCTTGTTGAATGTTTCTTGTTTGTCAAGAGCGATCTTACATATTTGATGTACTTGTGACATGAATATCATATCTGTGATGCATAGTGACAAATCTTGCCTTGTTTGGGAAAAAGTGTGTGCAGACAATTTCAGACAGCTGCAGTTTGGTCTTTAAGCTATTGTTTCTTCAAATGAGTTATGTTATGATGATTGGGACAGATTATGTGAATAATAATATTAAAGATAACAGTGTAACTTTGAGGAGATAATTGTGTTCAGTCTTAATGTGCTTTTGACATCTGAATGTGTGGAAAGAGTCATTATTAAATAAGCATCCTCTAGACGAATGGGAGAGATAGCAAGGAGCTATAGTAAATTGCAATATATATTTTAAGATTTAAAACAAGATTCAACAAAAATAATGGCTCAATAATAGCTTTGAAATTCTGTCAATCAAGCATCAATCAATAAATTTTATAGTTGTTAATATGCTAGTTTGCACAATTATAGCTTTGAGAAAACCAAAAAAATAAATTAATGTCTTATAGCAATGGGTTCAAATTGTCACACTAGCTAAATTAACATAATATGTCAAATAAAGGTTTGAAAAATAATTTTTGTTATTATTTTAAAATAAGTTGATTTACATTTTTTGTGAAAGATTGGTTGGCCTAAAAATATGTATGGCAGCTCTGTATGTATTACATTGCTTATTAACTAAGTATAAGTAAAATATTAAATTTGTTATGCATTGATCAAAGTCTATCTCTCTTAACTTAAGTTACGTGGTGACCAAGCTACTTATACTGAACTAGTACCCGGTAACCGAAAGCCAAAACCACATGACTGAAGTTGCAAACTATGCCCTTTGGATACTTGTGGCACGACTGTACAAAACAATTGGACATGTAAGTTTTCAATATTGAGTTTTCATTTCCCCCTTTTAAATGTAAAAACAACTTTAATAGCTTTAAAAACTAACAAGAGTACATTATTGTTAAAGTGACTCCATACCTGCCTGTTGAACACACGTGGTAGCAAGGCTGTCTCTTTTTTGCATAAATTTGACCATATCTGGTGCCTTTTGTATCATTTCTGCAAGTTTTTCTTCATCTTCCATTAGCTCTTGCATATCATAGAGTCTTGTATAGAGATGAAATGGGTTTAAGATTTTAAGTTTGAATGGATGACTTTGTAGCAGCATTGGTAATATGTAAATTAGAGATTAATCACCTATAAATTCAAACTAGTTTAACTGATTAACTACCAGATTGAAAAAGCCGCTGTGGCAGAATTAAATCTAGGTCACATTTAATACGTTACAAACATTTGCACAACCAGCGGCTTGTGGCCATAACGGTAGAAACGTCGAGCCGCTCCCACTGGCTCATGGTAGTTAACAAGTTAAGCTAAAATTTAAAAAGCTGTATACACTGTCATCTATGGCTTATTTAGCTACAGGATCATTAAACAACAAAAAGCTTTCTGTCTGTTACAGTAGATAAGGAGTACAATGAAAAACAGAAAATAAACCATTCCTTATATGCTATTAACCTTTGTTGCACTCACTTCATATCTTTTAACCCTGGAAATTCTGTATGTAAATTAGGTACTTGGAATGACCCTAGTGCCGACTGTTCCAATCCCGGTTCACCCGCTGTACCAGGGGTTCTTCGAGGAGGTAGGGGTGGAGGAATTGCTGAAGGCTGACTACCAGGATATGGACACACCGGCTGGCCTGGATAGCTAGTTAAAGCACCTGAATGTGGGGTTACAGCAGACCCAATTGTAGGGTTGGTCGATCCAAGAATGCTTGAAAGTGACAAAAATACATTTAGTTTTGATAAATCTGCGTATGAAAAAATAATTAGACATGTATAGCAGAAATCTGCTTAAAACATATTTTTTTTAAACATTATTTTAAATAGGACAGCAATAATATAATTAAAAAATATTATAGGAGATCTGTTCCCATGCAATAAGGATAATATGTCTAACATACTAGTGCTGAGGAATGGTAAGTGGTGGAACTTTCTTGAATTCTTCTAACACCATCTGCACAGCCTGGCCCAAGTCTGAATGCATCGAAAACTGAAAACACAAATTAAACAGAGGTTTCTTTTGATACAGTAAAAAGATGTTAGCACAAAATTTATACATTCAGAGAGTGACTAGTTTTGTGGCACTCAGACAAGGTCATGCTACTCACGTAACCTGTCATTTAGCAAAATAATCAGGATATCCTTAACTTATATATTAGTTTTACTATTTTTACCAAAAATAATGTTTTGATGCCCCTCTCCCCACAAATAAAAAAAACAACATGTTGGCTTTATAATGCAGATCAACCTTTCTTGTCCAGAAGAGTTTAGTTTTGTATCAATTATTAATTTGATGTCATCATAGTTAAAATTTAAACTGCACATAACTATAGAAAATTTGCAAAAAATGAAGAAAAAAAAGTTATATTACATTATTTATACTAGGACATCCAACAATTTTCATTTGCATATCCACCCATGGATGTGAAACAGCTGGCTGTACTGTTAATGTAGGCTTATCACTTGGGAACTGTTGAGGCAGATTTCTGTAGATGTAAGTTAAGTATATTATATCATACAATAAATTCCTTTCATTTATATTTTAAAATATGTTTAGAATTTATAAAATAAATTAAATATTATCAAACTAACTTTTATTCCGTTTTGTAATTATTTTAATTTCACCTTTTGATGGTGACAGCTCCATGTAAATTAAAATCATTTTCAGATTTCTATCATTCAGCATCAAAAGAATATTTAAACAATGTGGTAAAAAATCAGACATGTCATTTTAATTTATACACACACAAACTTCACTCACATTGAAATAATAAATTTTGTTTGCCCTTGCTGAAAAGGTATTCTGTATTCACAATCCCGTATCATTTCAACAGCCCTGTTAAAAGTAAATTTTAAAAAATTGCTTATTAAAAGGCAAAACAAAATATAGCCAATTATAAATATTTACAATGTTTGAATTTTTCCTTTTAATAATATTGTATAAACCCAAAGTATCTTTTCTTTTACAGTAATTATCCTAAAATTATTCACTTTGATGACCCCGAACAGTACCAATGTCAGTGTACTCGTGCCCATGAACTATCTAGGGCAGCGATTCCCCAATTTTTTTCCTCCCATACCCCTTATTTAATGTTTTCATTTATAAGTAACCCCCTCCCACACCTATACCTTACCCCCTCTCATCCCTAAAAATGATACAGTTTTATAAAAAATTTAACCTACACCAACTAGCTTCAGCTGTTTTTTGGGGGGTTTTTTTATATGAATAAAAAAAATGTAAATGTGAGTTCGTTTTTATTTTTCGTCTGTCAAACTTGTTAATTAATGCTCCATATTAATATATAAAAAATAGTCTTCTCTGAAAAGTGATGATTCGAGGCAATGGTTCTAAAAATAATGAGGTCAAATTATTCACAGAAAACTAATTTCATTTATGCTGACCTTTTTGTTTTACATATTATTATTACATTTACATGCTGATTGTGAATTATTTAATGCCCATGCCATAAACAAAACTTAAGACCGAGTTAAAATCTGAGCTTAGTGACACTACTGTATCTATCAGATATTCAAGGAGACACTCTGATGACATGTGATCACCACTTGCCTCCCGCAGTCTCAGTTACAAATTGTTTTTAAATTCTGCAGAACGCAATTTCAATTAAAGTTATTTTGTAAAATTTTATTAGATATTTCGTTGGTTGTAATTGTAATGGCTGTTGTTGACAAAAGGGTGAAAACAGGAAGTCTCGATTTTATTGAACATGCACATCAACAGAATGATCAATGGAGCCCCCCCTCCCCCCGTCACTTCATTTTATGTGCGGGCCAAACTTTTTACATGACCGACTTACTGAGTCAGGGTACTCAGTGAGACCTGACCATGAAAAATGATGATAGTAATTGGTTTGATAGGTCAAAGCTAAATTATTAATTAAAAAATATCATTTAACTTGCAAAGAAATTGGTTAAAAATATTAATTTTATGGGTAAATTTATATTTTTAATTAGAAAAAAACATTCTGTGCATTGTGTTTTGGTTTTGTTGATAGCACAATTATTTTACCTCATTTATAAAAATGGATACTATTGATTCAATGTCATTGATTCTAGATGGATATCATAAATTAAAGATTTAGACTTTAACTTAGGTCTCAATAATTATTATTTTGCCTCTACCTGTTTGTGGTACGTTGTCCAGGGGGATATTTTTGTGAAAATTTAGCACACCTAGTTATAAAAACTTAATCCTAATATTTTGGCCATAAATAAAAAAAACATACCCCATACTATTAATAGTATCCTATAGGCTATAGTACTGTATTAGTAAACTACAGTAAAGTGATCTAAAATTTAAAATTGATCAATGATCAACTAATAAAAATATATAATAATAATAAGATTAAAATCAATTCTGGATCCAAGACTAAGACCAATGATTATAATTATGATATTATTGATATGTTAGACTGTAAAGGTACCTAATGAGAGAGAAAAAAAGTTAAAATTGTCAGAAAATAAAAAATAGTTGAGAGTTAAAACTTTAAGTTAATGACAATGATTCTGAAACTGAATCTGCAAATGAAAATTAAGCCTACTTTTTAATAATTAAGAACTAAACGCTGCATACCCTATTTTTTTCAAGCTTTCCACTTGTTTCAACCTTTGTGCTTGTAGATTCGTGGCCGATTGACCTTTATTTTTACCACCAAATAAGCGATTCATGATTTTTCTTTAAAATGTAGACTATCTAATCAATGACTCGGCGAAAGATATTATTTAATTCCACGAAAGTGCGTAACAATGGCAAAATAGTGAAACAGGTACATTGTGTATTACGTCATCTTTTTAGTTTTTAAAGTTTATGACCACTTTCGCTTCTTTGTTTAATTAATTATGAATTTAAAAACTAAGGACTGGTTACTTAATTACATTACATAGCTTTTTAAATTTTAACATAGTATCTTTATAACTAGTAAATCAAAAACGCTATGGTTCAATGTAATGCATTTTAAAATAATTATTGTACAATAATTATCCAATGAGAAAAGAAAAATGGTAATAAAGTGAAATGAAAAATTAAAAATAAGAGGTATATCTAAGTAACGATAATTTTGTTTACTATTGTTTAAAATAAAAACGAAATATATGTCTAGTCGATTTTTATTACAGGTAGAATACAGCGCGAAAGACGTAATAATCATCAGATTTAAAACATCGAACAAACATGACAGATAAAATACTGTTATAAGCTTCGTAATTAAATGTTTTCTGATTAGTTGACCGCAAGATAGTGTGATTTTCTAAATAGCATCATAATTTATAATGATGGACAGTCTTAAGACAAATCTAAAGTCTACAGCAAGAGGATGGAATATTTTTTTTTAAAGGAAAATAGTCTACAACAGACCTGCACAACTTGAAATTTAAGATGGGCCGTAATACTTTATGAAAAACTTGTGCGGGCCATAATACGTTATGAAAATTTTTTTCGGGCTGAAAGATAATAGGACAGGGGGAAAGCTATTAAGAAAATAATGATAATAAAGAATATTTGTCACTCTGCGGGCCACCAAGTGGGTGCTGGCGCGCCGCATGTGGCCCGCGGGCCGTATGCTGTGCAGGCCTGGTCTATAATATTTGAACTATAAAATCTGTAACATAATATAACATTAGAAAAAGATCCATTTAAATCGTGCAAGGCTAGAAAATCACGAATTGTTTTTTGTTTGGGGCCATCCATAAATGAAGTCCCGCAAATTTTGCCGATTTTTTACCAAACCTCTCCCATTGTCATAAAAACTTAGACCCCTCCTCAAACACAACGTCAGAAGTCTCTGCCACTCTCCTCTATAAAAATTCCCCGTGTTCACTAGTGTCCTTTACAAACCCTTAAGAAATTCACCTCCCGTGGATATCAAATTATTGAACCTGTGTCAGAAAAATTTCCCTAGAACAGTGGTTCTTAACCAAAGGAAAAAGTACCTCCCCAGCTCTGATGTGTGGAAGACCAGAAAATTTTACTTGCTCCAACGGCAAGTTGTTGCTACTTTTTTTTTAAAAAATCAGTTTGAATGTATTTTGATTAGCAGCAGTAAATATTTTTCTGGTGAGTTTGGTTTTTGCATTATTTATGTTGGTAATTTTTGTCCTTGCATATGAAAAGTTAATTAAAGAAATAAAAATACGATAATTAAATTAAAAATGTTCAGAAGCCCTGCCCTAGAGCCTTTACAAAGATTGACACCCACCCCCCCCCCAATCAACTTTTTTTGGGTTCCATCCCACCTCATGTGGTAGTCCTAATTCTATAACTCTCGTCTACACATTTAGACATACATTCTCACGACTGTCCTTGTCACTAAACATTTGCTGGTCCAACAATTTGAAACGCCCTTTCAGTCGATCTCAGAAACAACCAGACATTGGAGTCCTCTAAAGCCGATTTAAAGACACATCTATTTCGCAAACACCTTCTCAGATGATTGTCTACCACATTTTCCATTTAATGTATATTGGCTGTGTTGCTTAGGGTTGAAATGGGTAGAAAAACTTTGACTTGGTATGCTTGCAATTAGTTTTTGAAGTGTTGCGTTTGTTTTAAATGTGGTAAATTACATTTTTTTGTTTGTAATAATATATATATATATTTTTAAAAAACTTTGTACCGCGCTTCGAGCCTTTGGGGATGAAGCGTGTTTTTGAAATAAACTTTATTATTATTATTATTATTATTATTATTATTATCATAGTAAACTTGGCTTACATTAAATATAATTTTAACTGTTTATTTAAAAACACAAGATTATATCATTATGAAAAACTTACCACAAAGCTGATATTTATTTAATGTTAATCTGAATAAATTTATCAGCAACTCTGATCTCATTTATTGGTAATATTTGTCTCAACTTTGGGATGATAACATACGGGGGACTGTGTACAGACAGTGTGAAGTAAATAAATAGTGGGAAAAGATATGTTTCGGCTTGAAAAAAAGACAGAACAATTGAAAGGACATTTTTATATACTGAGCTGTTTTGTGATCTAGGGGCCCTTATTTTTTTAAATTTTTAAATAATTTATTATTTTTTGTTTTGAATGTCTGCCAAAAAAAGGAATTTAGCCAAACGTAGCTCTCTCTCAGTCTCGGTGTAGAAAAACGAAAATTCTTTCCCTTTATATTTTCTTTAAAATTGAATGTATTAATATGGTAAAATACATTGATTCATTTCATTTCATTGAATATTAAATCCATCCCCAAAAGCAGCATATGTTTTAAATACTTATACCTGATTAACACACTATAAATATTTATAAGTGTAAAAGTTTTGTATTATCTAGGGAAAAAAATGGGCTTAAAATTTGTTTTCACTTTAGACTTTAACATTCAGAACGTCAAACTATTTTTTAAAAGCTTGATTCAGCGTGGAAATTATTTAAATCTTAAAATTCAAAAGTATCTCTGAATGTTTAAAAAATCTAAAAATATGTATAACTTTTTAACAATTTGTAACAATGATATTTTAAAATTGTTATTCCAATAAGATTTATTAAATTTTTAATGCTTATACTTATAACTATCATTCGGTACATGGTTGCATCGCGCATTTTTTAATTTTCAACTTACGAGAGGTATGCATACTCCTGAGAAATTTCCTTAGCAGGAAAGCATTTGTCAAATTGGCGTAGGCAATTTCTGTTGTTTTTGTGTTCATAAATTTGTGTTTTAAATTGATAGAGTTGATAAATATAGCTCACATATTTAATCTAACACTTTTTTATGTAAGTTAATTTTATAAAAGGGCTGATATTAAGGAGGGATGCCACGGCGTCTTTTGTGTGTTTATTATAGTTTATAGTTGCAGTGCATAATTAAGAGGTTAGGTTGAGGGATCGATTTTTAGGGTTCAGGTTAGGCATAGGGATCGGTTAGGGTTAGGCATAGGGATCGATTTAGGGTTCAGGTTAGGCATAGGGATCGATTTAAAGGGTAAAAGTGCAGTTCAGGTGCGTATATTATTTCTTAGCGCATTTCGTATTTTAAAAATTTTTTATCATGTAAACTTACGTGTATTCTTTAATAATTTAATACAGGCAGTTATAGTTAACTAATTCTGGATTATAAGTGGCATCTTTTCTTTTTATTTTACTTCTAAAGAGTCTTTAACCATCCCCCAACCAAAGTGACACAGCCCCCATTTGTTTGTATTTTTCTTTTTACGCTATGCCAGATTTTTAGCCACCTATAAGTATAAGTTAGTATGCTAAACGAAATTTTCAAACTAAGCATGTTCACGAAAAAGAATGAAATACTAGATTCTTTATTACACACAAACCCCCCCCCCCCCCCCACCTTTTTTTTTTTTTTCCTCTCAGAGCGCTCGGAATTTAGGGGTTGTCCTTTGAAGCCGGGTCGGGGGGGGGGGGGATTAGAAGTTGATCACTGACTAAACAGTGGACACACACCTCATCATTGTCCTGGACCTGGTGTGAAGCTGATCACCCTGAAGGCTGCTAATACGCTGTCCGTGATTGGTCAGCTCTAATTTGAGCACCCCTCCTCTTTTTTCGTATGCAAATGCGCTTATTACTGGTGACTGATTTGCGCTGAGTAAAGTGAGGGCTAGTGATTATTTTTTTTATATTATAAGACGGACTCGTTTTGGCTTTGCGGTATTGCTGGTTGTAGGATCATTTTGTTTAAAATTGCAGGACGACCAAGAAACAATAACTAAAATTGTTGATGCAACAGGCATTTTTAATGGTGCAGCATTTGTGGGGCAACAAATAACGTTAATACAACTGGAATTTCTCCTAAGGCGCTCGTAACAATTGCAATTTGGCTTGTAAGCTGGGTTCGTATGTCAAGTATGTGAGCTCCCCATAATTACCGGATCTGCATATCACCCGAAACGGGATCTCACCGTAACCGGTATCCCACCGGGATCGGTAACCCACTGGATCGGGATCCCACCAGGATCAGAATCTCACTAGGATCAAAATTGTATCGGAATCTCACCGAAACGGGATCCCACCGGATTGGGATCTCATTTAGTTTGGGATACCACCAGAAACGGATCTCACCGGGATCGGTATCTTACCGGGATCAGGATCCCACCATGACCAGGATTCTATCAGAATCACATCGGGTTTGGGATCCCATCATGATCCTTCCGGGTGCCATCGGAAAACGGGAAAAACGAAAGGTTTACATAAGTTATTTTAATTGTTTTTAATAGGAGACAAATTAATTATTATTATTTTTACTATAGTGTTGTTGTTTTGTTGTTGACATTTCCTTTAATAGCAATGTGAACTAAAAGGACGTAGCAGATGTTTTTGTCTGAATGCAGCCCCGGGCAACTCCGGTTATAGTTGATAGTAAAGTTATAAAATAAATACATCATTTATTTTAACAAGATTCATCCAATTGGGCAACTTTTATAAAGTATCTTTAAAGACAGAAGAGTTATCCTTGATTTACCACAATGGCTCCGTAAAACACGAAAGATTCATAAAAATGTACTTTTTTTATCTCGTATGGGTGCCATCGGAAAACGGGAAAAACGAAAGGTTTACATAAGTTATTTTAATTGTTTTTAATAGGAGACAAATTAATTATTATTATTTTTACTATAGTGTTGTTGTTTTGTTGTTGACATTTCCTTTAATAGCAATGTGAACTAAAAGGACGTAGCAGATGTTTTTGTCTGAATGCAGCCCCGGGCAACTCCGGTTATAGTTGATAGTAAAGTTATAAAATAAATACATCATTTATTTTAACAAGATTCATCCAATTGGGCAACTTTTATAAAGTATCTTTAAAGACAGAAGAGTTATCCTTGATTTACCACAATGGCTCCGTAAAACACGAAAGATTCATAAAAATGTACTTTTTTTATCTCGTAAAATTTGTTAAATTGTTGTATTCCAATAAAAAGATGGTATATAACTTTTAAAATACTTTTTATAAAGAATTAACATAAGTTTACACGGGAAACTAAGAGATTCAAACAGAAATAATATACGCACCTGAACTGCACTTTTACCGATTTAAAGATACATTCGTGAAATTTGATAAAAATATGGCATTCGTCCTTAAAATTTACCTATAAAAGTCTTACGGAAGTCCAATTTACATTTGTTAGCCTTTTTAAAATTAAGTCCTACTTCAACTTAGTTAACTTAGTACTTAGTTTAGTACTCTAAGAATCCTAAGAATAAGATTAAGAAAGAAGTCTAGACGCCTAGGCTTAGGAGCAGATCTAACTTAGACTCGGTAACTTTAACTCTAAACCAGAATCCCTCTTCTCTAGTCTACTCTTAGTAAGATGCTCTTACTCTTTAAATTCATTAACATTATTATGTATTAAATTATCATAATAAATATAATATATTAATGAATTTGTGAATTTCAATTTGTGTTCCTTTGCTTGATACTATTACTGTACTGTACTTACTAGTACATAGTATTTAGTCATAATTTGTATTTAAATTAAAAATGTATATACATTAATAGTATAGGCTATATATTCTTACATTTATCAAAATACAATAATTATTTAAACGGTGTTAATATAAATAAACCATACCACCCAAAATTAAATACAAAGAGTCGACTCATTATCAAAATCCAATATATATTTACATAATAACAAAACTAGAAAGGGATATGTAGTTTACAGTATGTAGCAAGGCTGAATTATTTGTAAAAAGTCTATTAGTTTATTGGCATTACCATCTGGTCTGGATGTTCAAGGTATTACTATATGCACTGATAAATAAATTGTCTCAAAACTAAAAAGAAAAAGCTTTTTCATTGTTTTAGAATTTTCTTTGAAAAAATACATGTTGATATTTTTTATTTTAGATTTTAAGCCAAGTTTGATGAAAGTTCTCATTTAAAAGACAATGCCTGCTGTACTGGAAGATCATGGAATACGAGATGTGTGGGCCTCAAATATGGAGGAAGAGTTGCGCAACATTAGCCGAGTTGTCAAAACTCATAGATACATTGCTATGGTACGGAATAATCTGGAGCAATTCTTAAAATATCTTTAAAAATAAACACATTTTTCCCTTTCCCTTTTTTTCCAAAGAAGTTAGTATCAATTAGTAAACATATAGATTCCGTTTAGATTTTCTTTTAAGTTTAAATGAATGAAAATTAGCATAATATTAAATGAAAATATCATTATGTGACTGCGCTAACATTTAAAGACTTTTATTTTCAGGACACTGAATTTCCAGGTGTTGTTGCCAGACCCATTGGAGAATTTAGATCAACCCAAGAATACACATATCATCAAATGAAGTGTAATGTGAATTTGCTGAAAATTATACAAATAGGATTTACATTTTTTGATGAAGACGGAAACAGAGCCCAACCAATTTCTACATGGCAATTCAACTTTAAGTTTTGCTTAGGGTAAAAGATTTTGAATTAATTTAGATGTTTTAGATATTTCTGTATTTCATTAGGTATTCTAAATGAGCTGCCAAGATTTGCGCTGACAAGTATTTTGTTGTTCAATCGGTTGCACTAACTCATGGAGAAAATATATCATTATATAAATGTGTGTTTAAATATTTAATTATATTTATTTTGTAGCAATGCAATTTGTTTGGAAGGGGCTGTAAATCATTTAAGTGTCATTGTATTAACGATTCAAACAAAGTTTTTTCTAGGTTGAATTCTTCCAGAAGATGAACGGAGTGGTTTAATTTTAGTGTAGATAATTTTTAAACTGGAAATTATCATTATTTTGATTAGGTAATTCATTTTATAAATAAATTTATTTGATATCATGCAAGAATGGGATCAAATGTTAATTATTCTTGTTCTTTAAATTTTAAAGCAAGTTTTATAAATTAGGTGCATAATGTTTCCCCTCATTTTGTAAATGCCTTATTCCTAAATTTATCTTACAGAGCATTATATGCACACTAGCTACTATTTTAGGTAGATTCCTACTGAATTTTGGCTGCCATTTGATCATTTTCAACAAAGTTTCAGTTTCAGGTTGGTTGCCAGCATGGCAAGACTACAGTTTGTTTTGTTGTCACTATGTTAAATATTACTACAGCTTTATCCAGTGAGCTATGTATAAAAATACAAAGCATTAGTATGTTGATAGCCATGAAATATTGTAGTGATATTTTTAGCCTTAATAGGCCTTATAAGAAATCATGGTAAGAGATTTTTAGGTGACAGTTTGCTCTATTAGAGACAGTCAGGATAATTATTGTAGAATAAATGCATAAATGTAGGTACATTCTAGTAACTCCTGCTATGCTGTCATACACATCCTCATTGTGTTCATAAAATATGGACTGCCCCTTACATTGACAGGGTGCAGGAGGAAATATAAAAATATGTTGTTGTTTTTTGTGTGCGTTATAAATGGATGTCCGATTGTTTAATCAACTCTGGCATTCAAATTTGGCTACATTGACGGACATGCACATTGCAAGGATAATTTTAATGTTACTATCAGCATGGAATCGGTGCTCCTTTTTCAAGACCACATATTTTTGTTTAAATCATTCTTGACTGCTCCGCTCAGCATTGTTAGATTTTGACATTTCTATAAGATCTAGTAAGCGCCATTTAAAATCTAATTTTAGAAGTCACTAAACAGCTGTACAATTTAATACCCTTGTTTGTTCTATCACTTCTCTTCCCGTCTCCCAATACTGCTCGCGGTATTTTTAGACCACAATATGTTAACAGAAAATAAAATCAGGTTCCTAGGCTTAATGCATGGGTGGGCCACGGCCCCCATGTTAAATGTTGTGTCCCGCAAGATGCATCACAAATCACAATCACATCTTCATTCAAATAACGATTATTTTAACTTGTGGCATAAACGCACATTTTTTATTTATATACACCATTTTTTGGGATGGTGTGCGCCATTTCGGTGCACCCATCCCCCATTTTGGACTGATAGATTAAAATAAGTAATAAATTATAAAACAATTTTTTAAGTTTTATAGACTACCAAAATAAAAAGGATTTATTCAAACAAAGCTAGGTAAAGGTAGTTTAATTTTTCACAAGGACTATGGTTAAGTCAAGAATGAAGCAAAATTATATTCAGGTACAAAATATAAAGGTATTTAAAAGTGCATCTCTGCGTTTTGCATGTATATAAAAAAATCTGGGTGGGGGAAGGGGAGCTCAGTCTCCTCCCCAAACCCCAATTGTTTTGGAGGGCACCCTCAGTTTCTGCTCCCTCACCACATCTTCGTTAATCAAAGTGGAAAGTGACGGGCACATTGTTATTTGCAATAATGCACTGTATCTAAATATATAAACGTCAGTCATCTACTTTGAGAAGTTACCTTTATTAGACATTCCAATAGTTATTGTATACATTAAAGCCATAGGATTTACGAGATGTTTATCTAGTAAAATTCACAATAATCTTTTTTTTATATACGCGGAATGTATGCAGGAACGAGTTTTGAAATCTCTAAATCTTTTAATTTAGGCCAAAAGTCTCGTTAAAATTTTGGATTCGAATTTGGCCAAAAGTCATTTTTAACTTTTTGTCTTGTTTCGGTATCACCTTCAGTCTGTCTAAAATTATTGGCATATTGTCTGGGGAATGGGAGGCAGTTAAAGTCTTGTAAACTTGTATGTTTACATTTCATATTCCAGTGGATGCAGTGGCGTAGCTAGGGTTGGTGTCACCCGGTGCGGTCCGCACCCCCCGCACCTGCCTCGCTACGCCACTGAGTGGATGAAACTTAAAACCTCTCTAAGACTTTGTAATTTAGCAACAAATATCATCACAAAAGAATTGGAAGACTCAGAACACTGCCTTAAGGCCTAAACAGATTGTCAAGAAAAACTTGATTTCAGCCACTGGTGCAGGTAATAGTAGTAATATTGTTAGTTATTTTTGCATTTTGTTATTATAATGCTAGATGTGACAGGATCTTAAATGCAAAGTTGATAAATATTACAATTCAAATCATTTTTTAAATACAAATAATATCTTCTTTTTCTCAGGAATGGATATCTGAAATTTGGCCGGAAACCAGTGTAAGGAAATATACCCAGACCCATAAAGACATACAAATAGAGGCATTAGACTTCAAATAACTTATCTATTAGGCCTATCTACTTAGTCATATAATTTTGATAGAAATTTATAAAGTTAGAAATTCTCAATTTTGAAATAACCCTTTTTTGGGATATTTAAGCATTATTTGTATTTTTTAATCTGACTGTTTATTTCCTATTAAAAGATTATCATTTTCAAAAATATGGTGAAAAGGTTGTTTAGTTATTTTACTTGGTTAATTTTGTGTGATTTTATAAAGTTCTCTAAAAATATAAATTTTTGTGAACATGCTTGGTTAAGATAATTTTATAATTATATAAATATTTATAAATATAGACAAAAATTTAATATATCCTCTTTCTGATAATTTCACATTAATGAACATGCAATTTCATTTGAGATTATGTAAATGTTATATTTTTAACTCATTTAGTTAGCTTTTAAATGATTTTTTAAAGATGTGCTAAAATTAACTTTTTTGTCTTCCTTTTCATATTTTGTCAAATTGTGTGCTTCGTTTCATTTTTTGTATAAATAAACATCTTTGTCACATCCCTAAAAAAAAATTGAGTGTTATATTGTATAACTGGCTTTGTTTGCAATAGATTTAAAAGTTCCAGCTTATTTATTATAGAAAGTAGCAGGTGTCAAAAATACACTCTTGAATGTTCTAAGATTTGAAGCTGTTCCCGAGTTTTAAAATTTCATAACTTTCTTAAATTTAGAGATGCAGCAATAAAATTGATGGTCCTGTTCTGATGAAGCCAGGCTCTATTGAGGGGAATATTTGGATTTTTATTTAATTTCATTATGAAAATTTCATTTAGAGTACCTAATGTAATATTCATGAAAGGTGGAATTAATGTCACTCAAAAATATTTGATATCTTAATGATAATTTAAAACCTGTTTGCCAGTCAGATATTTTAGAAAACTTATTTGAGAGGTTTTTGTTTATTTAATAAAAAGGGATGGTAGCAGTATTTAACACCTACAGCCTGACTTACTTCAATTACTAATTACAAATTTATCAATGGAAGTTTGATGTATGTGAAATTTCTTTACTATTGTCAAATAAAATATAAGGGGGGGGGGGGGCTTTTAAAGTTGCTTTATTTTCAATATGCCAGACACACCCCCCCCCCCCCCCCCCCCATAAGACAGCGCTCAGCAAAGGGGAGAGTGTAAATGAAATCTTTATGTTACTATGTTATATGGACACCATTCGATGGTCAGTGGATAAATAAGATTAAAATCGATTGATGCCGATCATTGTCATGTGGATGTAAAGTGTTAATGAGGATGACTGTTTTCTAAAATTAAACTTGAATTGAAAATAATGATTTGGAATTTTTACTTTTTACTCATTTTAGTGATGACATGTATGCCCAAGAATCTATCGAACTTCTGAGAAAATCAGGGATACAGTTTGAGCGCCATGAGCGAGATGGTATGGATCCCTTTGACTTTGCAGCTGAATTAATTGGGGCTGGTGTTGTTCTTCAACCAAATGTGTTCCTTTCATTTCACAGGTAATAATAATTTATACATATTTTTAATATTTACCCCACAAAGACTTAGTTCTTTGTACTTCCATCGGTTACCAAAGTAGCATTGTAGTAAAATAAAATAATTTTAAATGCCTTTATGATTTTCACCACAAATTCATTAAAGGATAATCGCTAATTCTTGGTACTCCTCATTTCTTTACAAGAATAAAGTTTTCAGCAAAATTTATGTATAAATTTACATTAAATTATAAAGAACTGTGAAAAATACAGTTTGAAAACAATGTACAAAATTTATTTTGGTCTGATATAACAGTGCAACCTTATATTGGAATTTTGAAAATAAGAACTCTTTCTTAAAGATTTTAATAATTTATTTACTTCTCATATTAAAGCTTTAAAACACCAATAGTATTTGTAGGTAATTTTTCATTAGTGTCATTGTAGACATCATGGGTACTATATGTTTTCCCCCTACCAGTGCAGTGGTCTGTCCAATATGGCAGCTGTGCAGGAATGGGTCCTTGGTATGTGCTGGCAGGGACCTATGAAGTCTGCAGGGGTACATACCTGCCTAACCTGTACTTGCCCCACCAATATTGTGGTGAAATAAGTTAGGCAAAGATGATAGGAGCAGGGTTAGGGCTCATGATTACTGCTGCCTCAAAAGGAGTGTAGATAACAAAGGAGTTATCGATGACAAAAAAGCTACCCCCACCCCCAAGGACAGATCTCCTAGGCAGCTATGTCATCCCCTTCATAGGCTAATACTTGTGTTGTGGTTTTTATGTAGGGGAGTGCCCAGTACCACTTTAGAAATAACGACTACTAGTATCTAAGTGCTCGACAACTCTGAAGAAACCTTCTTAGAAGGTGTCAGTGAAGATCCCCCTATCTGCATTGACCAAAAACATAGGACCTCAATTTTGCCCCAGGTGTGGCGTGGGAGATAATAGTGGTCTGATATGTAAGGTCTGAATTAAAGGAAACTACTCCTTTGGCATTCCTGGGGTAGCCGTATGGTTTGTCACTAGGGCAAAATATCCTTGGAAGCTGCCTCACTTCAACTTCCTCTGTAAAAGGAACGGAAATTCTGCTGGATAGGGCTCTCAGGGGTCCATCAGAGCTTCGGCTCTGGTACTGACGTCATTCCTTATGAACAATTTTAAATATGATTTAAATAATTCATCATCATGTTAGTAATATAATGTTTAAGTTGGACTGATTTTTTTGCTGTTGGGATTTTTATCTCTCTTAATGTTAAGCAATATTGAAAAATTAAAAATCCCATTGAATACCTCTAGTTTAAGTTTTAAGATTTCCGCTCCTCAATAAAATTCAGAACCTTAAACTTAGACAGAATAAATTTATAAACTTACATTTTTGAGTTTTTCCTAGCATACATTCAATTTTCATTAAGTAAATATTTACATATTTTGGAGGCAGTATTTTAAAATTCAAAAATTCACTTTATACTACCCAGAGTTATGTCACCTTGACTAGCTTATTCTAAAACTTTATTCAGTGATCAAGGTGATTATTCTTACATTTACTAGGTTACCTTTAAAAATAAAATTACTGACACTTTTAAAATATGAAACCTAACCTAAAAAAAAATCTATTTTCATAATGAAAGGCTAAAACCTCAATGCCATATTTAATTTGAATTGAAAAAATGTTTATTATTAAAGGTTTATTATTGACACACCCATTATGCTTATGACCTGAGAAGACGCTCTTCTTTGCATAACACTCCTTAATATTTTTAGCATGCATGCACTTATTTATGAGTTTTAAATGATAATTTTTAATATCATAATTTGTGTTATTTTCAGTGGATATGACTTTGGATACTTCATTAAAATGTTACAAAACAGTGATTTAGAAGAAGATGATGAAGAATTCTTCTCTAAACTTCGCCTGCATTGCCCTGATATCTATGATGTTAAATATTTGATGAAATCCTGCAAAGATCTTAAAGGTGGTTTACAAGAGGTATCAGATTACCTGCAGGTAAAGAAATTTCATACCACTTAAACCATCTTACTTTTCATATGTTTTTGCTCTTATGCTCGAAATCTGAAGATCATACATTTTTTTTTATCATTATAGATTAATAGCTTTAGAAGTATTGAGACCATTTAAATTGCATTTTCTACATTACTAGTCATTATTTCCTTATTTTCAGATCAAGCGAGTGGGCCCACAACATCAGGCAGGCAGTGACAGCCTCCTAACAGGAATGGCTTTTTTCAAAATGAGAGAAGTGGGTGAATTTTTATATTATTTTAACCTTATTGCCACTATTGTGACCAAATGCAACATTACACACCACCACCACCACCCACTTTTAAGACCACCTCTTTTAACACCACTCACTTTTAACACCACCCACTTTTAATAATGGCTTTTTTCAAAATGAGAGAAGGGGGTGAATTTTTATATTATTTTAACCTTATTGCCACTATTGTGACCAAATGCAACATTACACACCCCCACCACCACCCCCCCCCCCACCCCCACTCGCTACTAATACAGCCAAATGCATCATCAAACCTAGCAATGTACGCTTGAGAAGCATTGATTCTGTGCCAATAGCTTTTGGATTTTTAAAAAGTAGGAATAGAGCCGATTTTGTTTTTAAAAGAATTGATGTTTCTATCATTTATGGTTTGAAAGCTGCATGGTGTTGAAGTTAGTCTTGATTTTGTGATTGTACTTTATGAGATTCTTGGCTCTTTGATTCTTGCCTCAACTTTTAATTATTCAGCAGATAATAATTCTTGTAATGAAGACAAATCAGACATTGACCAAAATGCATTGAATTTAACTCAGAATTGTAAAATAATACTGATGAAAGCAACATTGAGAACATTGATCAAGACTCTGTCACTCAGTCTTGGTCAGACAATTTAACCAGTTTAAAACTGACATATTTACTGAGATAGAAGATGGCATTCATAACCTTCTGATTGAAAGCAGTATAGTAGACTACGGTTCTTAAAAGTTAAAACTGGTGGAAACCAACAGAAAGCTGGCTGCCAAGGGCAGAAAAGACACCCAGTGGAAGGCTGTTTCTAATGAGGTTATTTACAAATTCTTGTATATAAATGTTATCTGTGGGCTTCATAAATAGGCTGCTACTAAATTGCACCAGTCTTCTGACAAGCTTTGGAGGGTCTCTGCAGTTGCAGATGCTGTGGGGGTGCACCTGTTATGAAAAAATAGGACAGCATTTTCACATCAATAAAAGTGAAAACATTCTGGCCAAGAACTATGATGATCCCATGTACAAAATAAGAACACTACTCGATCATATTCGGAATGTGTGCCAAACAGGTCATAAACCACATTGAAAGATGTCTGGATATGAAGCAATGTTTGGTTTTCGTGGTTGCTTATCTTATCATTCAAGCAGTACTGAAGCAACAAGCCAACTCCATTAAGCATCAAAATTTGGTGCTCCGCAGCAGCGAAAACTGGATCTGTTCTTAACTGACAAGTTTATAATGGAAAAAGTAACAATCCCTCGAATCATGGACTGGGATATAATGTAGTTGTGTCATTGATGGAACCATTACTTGGTAGGTATTAGGGGTGTGCCGGATCCGTTTTTTCCAACCGGATCCGGATCCGGATTTTCTTATGCGAAATCCGCCGGATCCGGATTCCGGTTTCTCCCGGATTCCGGATTTTGGTACTATTGGTAGATACTTCGGTAAGTCAAGGTGGACTACTACTTTTTGTGTATGGGAATTCGCAATCGGCGCCAAAAAATCCGAGTTTTTAATTTTCCGATGTGTGTGTCTATTTATTATTAAATTAGTACTTTCGATATATATTTGAGTTCCGTTCCATTTGGATAAGTGTCTTACGAGAGACGCCATGTTTCTACGCGTTCGCAGCAGGTTATGCAGCTCGCTCAACCTAATTTCGCCATGGGGTTGGCCACGCCCCCCTTTTTAATGGCGGAAGTTGACGATACTTAGGAAATATTAATTTATTATCACTATTTACATCAAAATAATTGATAACTTGTGTTTCAGAATGCATTTAAAGACATTTAAACTGGAATGTTTTAATTTGAGCTTTAACAACCCGGTAGAATCCATATTATAAATGATCAGAATTTACCGTGTGCAACACGTTGTCATTGGCAACCATTCACAGCCACTTGCATAACTGTATCGTAGTACTACCTCAGAGTTTCATTCATAAGAGTTTGCCGTGTGCAAAAACTATTAAACCATTGGTCAGGGAAAGCTTTAATTAATTATTCATGTGCCAAAGTTGAAAGTTTAAACTAAGTCTAAACAGTATTTTAGTGATAAGGCAGGGAATGCGTTGCCTTATATAAACTATATAGTCATTGCGCATGACGGGATTGGTGGAATGAGATCACAGAATGTGGAGATGCAGTCCATGTTAAAAAATGACAAACCAAGTCGTACTTTAAAAATTCATAACTTTAAAACTACAACAGCTAAAAATATGATTTTGGTGTTATAATTCTTTAAAAAATTACATCTTTTCAACTATGCCATTGGTTTATTTTTACAAAAAGTTTAAATTTTCTTATCAAAGTCCCTACACTATTGGCCACTATTAGCGGTGCTGACTCTAGCCTCTGGTATGTACGGAATATTAAACATTAAACAAGCTCAACGCTCGAAACAATCGATTAATGTATCGTGATCGTGTGAAATTCGGGAAAGAGAATTACTTTTATTTCAGATTATGATCCGGTGAGTCACAAAATCTGGCAAATTCCGAAATCCGGTATATTCCGGATTCCGGAATCCGGTTGTTCCGGATACATGTAAATCCGGCGGAACCGGATTTCACCGGATAGTGCAAAATCCGGCGGAACCGGATTCCGGACCGGGGTCCGGCACACCCCTAGTAGGTATCACTTGAAGTGTCTATCGCTGATTTATTTTCCTCTCCAAAACTCTCAGAGGTCCTCCTAGCAAGAAAAACGTATAGCTGTGCAACCATTAGCCTAAGCAGAAAAGGCTGGCCCCTACAAAAGTCAAAACAGAAGAGGGGAAGTATACAAGGTTTAATGCTTGCCACACAATGGACTGAATAATTCCCAGTAAACATTAGAAATTCTGTCCCAGTAGTGACCGCAGTTCAGCACAGGTGAAAAGATGGAATTATGGATACAGAAATCCCAATGCAAGTTGTAACTTACAATTCTGGTATGTTTGGGGTGGACTTATCAGACCAGCAATGGCCTATTATCCTGTGGGCCAAGCAAGTACAAAGTGGTGGAGGCATATGTTCTGGTATCTCAAAGATCTGCCAGTGATCAATAGCGTTCTCCTTATGGAAAGTGCTAAACTATATGTTGCCTCAGTCTCTCCAGCCCAAAGCCATCTTATGTTTCGTAAAGCTATAATTTGTAATAGACCAACTTTTGACTGCAGCTACCAAATGCAGGCAGCCTGACACACCAAGTATCTCTGGCAGATGGCAGTCTGACACACCAAGTATCTCTGGAAGATATCATTCTGACACATCACTGACACACCAAGTATCTCTGGCAGATGGCAGCCTGACACATCACTGACACACCAAGTATCTCTGGCAGGTGGCAGTCTGACACACCAAGTATCTCTGGCAGATGGCAGTCTGACACACCAAGTATCTCTAGCAAATGGCAGCCTGACACACCACTGACACACCACATATCTCTGGCAGATGGCAGCCTGACACACCACTGACACACCAAGTTTCTCTGGCAGGTGGCAATCTGACACACCAAGTATCTCTGGCAGATGGCAGTCTGACACACCAAGTATCTCTAGCAAATGGCAGCCTGACACACCACATATCTATGGCAGCCTGACACACCACTGACACACCAAGTATCTCTGGCAGATGGCATCCCTCCACAACACTGACACACCAAGTATCTCTGGCAGGTGGCAGCCTGACACACCACTGACACACCAAGTATCTCTGGCAGGTGGCAGTCTGACACACCAAGTATCTCTGGCAGGTGGTAGTCTGACACACCAAGTATCTCTGGCAAATGGCAGCCTAACACACCACTGACACACCATGTATCTCTGGCAGATTGCATTCTGACACACCACTGACACACCAAGTATCTCTGGCAGATGGCAGCCTGACACACCACTGGCACACCAAATATCTCTGGCAGTCTGACACACCAAGTATCTCTGGCAGATGGCAGCTTGATACACCAAGTATCTCTGGCAATGGCAGCCTGACACACCAAGTATCTCTGGCAGATGGCAACCTGACACACCAAGTATCTATGCAGCCCATACAGCAGTCAGCAAATGTTGAGTCCGATGCCTGAAAGAAATTGTTGATATTATCAGTGTTCCATGGATGGTAACCGGGGTGCGACAACTGGCTGTCATTAAAGTCAAGTTCATCTACTGCTTTCTCAATTCCATGAAACTCTAAAATCACAGTAAATAACCTATGTGAGTCAACGCTCCTAAAATTCAGCAGAATTTTTTTTTTTTTTAAAGTTTGATTTCATGATTTACAGAGAATATATTTTATAATAAAGTATATAAAACTATACATTTCTGAAAAGGTCATCCAGTTTTCTATTTTTCATTAAAGCATGTTTTGTTAAAATTAGTTTGTTGTTGTTAGCAAAAATAATACTCTCCTAACATGTATTTTAGAGTGATTTCCCTTTGCTTAGTACTTCAGGGTGCATTTTGGCTTTGGTGTTAATAGCAAATGGGTAAACAGTTTTTTTTTTTTATAACCTGCTAGATCATGCATATCATCGTGTGATACTGTGTATGGTTTCATTAAAAATACCTCTCTGAAGTTAACAGATTAAAAGTATTCAAAATTATATTTTTTGTCATCAGTTGTTATATGATGCCAAAGGATAAAGCCATCTGAATTTCTAGAAAGCTGCTGTATCATCTGAGCTTTGTACTAGCACATTTTGATATCAAACGATTTTTATTCTAGTTCATTTTGATTTTAAATTCTCAGACATGAGAAGATAAATGTCTTTAACAATTTAAAAGATTTTTTATTACAAATTTCCAGCTGTACTTTGAAAACAACATTGAGAGAGAAAAGTATTCCGGACATCTTTATGGGCTGGGTCCCTTTGCTGCCAGTGCTGCCAATGTAACAAATGGATCAGGATATGGTGAATATGATGCAGCTGCTGACAATGGTTCTCAAGGCACTACATCATGATTAAAATATTTAAAATGTGCATTATTTTTAAAATAGAGTATTTTGTTCAGTATTTATGGCATCTCATAATTCCAACAAGAGAGCCAAGTGCATTTTAATATGGAAGTTAGAAGTTACATTACTGGCCTTTGTAACTATGTTTTTTTTTTGTTGGTTTTTTACAATGCATAGCATATAATATTCATATTTGAAGTTGTTTTTTTAGCTGAAAGTGGCATGTCATACATTATCAATTTTGATGATTAACGGTTTTTCTAATACCTTACAATAAGAAAGTCAAATGTGTGCAGAAAAAAACAGGGCCTACAGATAGTAGTAAATATGAAAAAATAATCAAAGATAATGTTTCCAAACAAAATATTTTTTTAACATAGTATTTGATAAACAAATTTGCATTCAATGTAGATTTTAAGGGGCCAATAATTTTGATTTAAAAGACAAAAATAATTAAAGTGAAAAATGGTCAGCATGTAGGTCCAGTTTCAATTGCATTACAAATTGCAACTTGAAAAATAATTTATCTTGTAACAATCTCTGGTGGGCACTGTAAATACCCACTAAGAGAGAACTAAAAATGCATTTTTTCTTTTACAAGCTTATCTCATGAATTGTAAATATGTTGTTTTTTAAACATCATCTTTCATGGGAGAAATTAAAAAATAAACCGTCTAGTGAATAAGAAGATTCATTATTTTTATACAGTGAATGGGAACTGAGAGAAGCTGAGGATTCAAAGCAAAGCTTAATCTATAATTAATACATTTTGCTGCATGTTTTGTAATTAGCTGACATGTAAGCCTAATTTGTTTTAGAACACATTTGAAGCTAAAACAGTTGGACATAGAAATTTGAATTTTTATTTCCTTCATTGGGAGGATGGGTACATGAGAATTTGTTTATAACTGTTCAATGTAGTTTAGTTACTGGTGGATTATATTTATGCTGTTAAATATAGAGTACTCTAAAGCTGAGGTCAAATGTCAACTGCAGATAAGCCTTTTAAAACAAAGTATGGTTTAACTGTTATTCTGTAGCAGTACAAACACATTGTCCCAGACAGTCAAAGCCTCTTATTATATTTCTTTAAAAAAATGTAAATACAAATTTTAATGAAATTATTAAAACTCCTTTTCAATAAAATACATGAATTTTTTAACGACTCCTGTGTATATTTGTCTTTTTTTTTTTGTAGGTTAAGATGTCAAGAATATTGTTATGTCTTAAAATTAAAAGCCTTAGTATTATTTGGATTCAAGTTGACTCAATCTGGCCCATTGAGTTTTCGAGTCTTAATCATAACTATTTGAGTCTTAATCATTAATCATAATTTTCCTCTAATGCAAGGACAGCTGTGTTTATATCTGGTTTGCTTTTACAGGCAAACATCTTGTTAAATTTCACTGGGGAAGTGAGTGGAAAGAGTCGTATATAAAACCCAGGTAGAATAAGACCCATTGCCCCTTGATGACCAAGCACATTTGTTGTCATGCAGTGTCCCAGTCCCATAGGGCACAACAAGTGTCCCTGTCCCATAGGGCACAACCTTTGGTACCAAACTAGATTAGAGATTTCAGAACTACTTATACTCAATAGCAGATCTTAATGATTTTATCTGTGGTACATGTTTCCAACTCTTTTCATTGACACGCATTTCCAGGACCTCTGGTCGGCATGTCTGTAGTGGGATGGTAATTACAGAAGCGCTTCTATAAGGTAAAAGAACTACCATTGCGCGATCCTGCATGGACAGGTATGGTATCTGCCGAACTACAGTGCAAACTGTAGCCTTTGCCAGCTGGAGTCATATCTGAAGTTGAAATAACAATAGAACCGGGTAGGGATCATGCCAACTATGTTGTCGAAGATGGATATGAAGCATGTGGTGGGTAGTCGCAGCCTCATGCTAATGATTCTAAACACACAGTACTTTTGGAGGCTGTTCCTAGGCCACCGTTTCACCCCAGCTACTTAGTGAACTATTTAGAAGATAGAAACCCAGTGTAGAAGGAAAATAAAAAAGTTTATTGCTGTTGTTGCAGTTCAGATACAACAAACCCAAAAAGAAAAAGAAAATTTTAGAAGAAACAACACATACAGAAATAATACAATACATAAAAGAGACATATAACATGGTAGATGCATACAGAACACTACACAGGGGAGGGAAATAAACAACATTTACATGCAATACGTTCAACACCAAAGCAATAATTGATAGGTTCTGTATACCAACAGCAGATACAATAAATGAAGCAAAACACATTCCAGAAACACTAGAGTTTACAGATCACAAAGGAGTGAAAATTACAATAAATTCAACAAGATCAAACATTAAAAAATCCCCACATTGGAAATTTAACAATTCACTTTTAGAAAACAATCAGTACACAGATTTCATTAATAAAGTTATACAACAATATAACACACTACCAACAATAAAACATAGGACAACACTGGGAACTTTTAAAATTCACCATCAAACATATCACACAAAATTTTGCAACAAGCTTACACAGACAACTCAGAGAAAGAGAAAAAGATTTAGAAATGCTCATACCAACAGAGAAAGCAAAAAATCCTTTCAGCCCCAATATGCAAGAATTAGAAGAAGAACTAGAACAATTAAACAAAATAAATACAATGGGGCACATGTTAGGAGTAGAACTTGCACTAACAACCAAGAGGCACCTACAAAGATCTTTTTAACAATAGAACAAAAAATACAAAAAAAGTAGACAGATACGACTGATCGTTGACACCTAAAGGGAAACACACTGACACTCCAAAGATCGTAAACACATTTGAAAAATACTACACACAACTTTTTGGAACAGAGCGAACTGAATCAGTTATACAAGATAAGTACACAAAATGTACACAAAGACTAAATAAAATTCAAACACAAGAAATAGACAAAACTATTACATTAGCAGTAGCAGACTTTAAAACATCACTGTCCAGCATGAACAAAAACAAAACAGGCCAGATGGCCTAACAACAGAATTCTACCTTTTCTTTTTCACAACACTGGGACCAATTTTACATAACACACTAGAAGAAGCTTAAAGCTACAGCAACAATGAGTTACCACACTCAATGAATACTTCATACGTTACGCTTTTACCAAAAAAGGTACAGACCGAACACAACTTAAAAATTATAGACCCGTATCTTTACTTAATACAGACTATAAAATTCTCACAAAAACTCTAGCAAATAAATTAAAACCACATTTAAATACCCTAATACATAGAAACCAACAATGCAGCATCAAAGGCAGGGACATACATAACCACAATCATTTCATTAGATACCTTATTCAATATTCAAATGACAAAAACATCCAAACTTGCATATTATCACTAGATCAAGAAAAAGCCTTTGATTTTGATAGCGTAGACGACACATACCTACATATTTACAACACAACAAACTAGGGGAGTATTTTTGTAATTGGGTTAAAATTTTATACAAGTCACCCATTAGTAATCTTATAATTAACAACACACTTTCTAAAGACATTAAAATTGATAGATCAGTTAGACAAGGGTGTCCCCATATCCCTTACCTTTATATCCTATCCTTTGAACCCGTGTTAGAGAGAATTAGAAGGGAGGAGTGTATTAAAGGAGTAGTGATCACTGAGGGATAAGGAAACGAAAGTCATTGCATATGCAGATGACACAAGTTTTTTTTCCTATTGATGATAAGTCTATTTCAAAAATAATACCAATATTTTAAGAATTTGTGAGAGGTAGCGGGTCTAAAATAAACAACTAACTCTGAAATTATGGGGATTGGTAGGTGGAAAGATAGACTAGATTTCCCTTTAGAAATATTAAGGAAAGATAGTCTTAGGACTTATGAGATTTATTTTTCAAACAAACAGACTCAAACTAACACAGAAACATGGCAAAACATTTAACAATCATTAAAAAACATAATTGACACAAATACACAGCACACACACTTTTTGGCAGGAGCACAATCATAAAAACATATGTAATTCCCAAAACAATATAGGCTACTCAGGGAACATATGGGGACCTCCACCAACTATTTTAAAACAAATAAACTTACACATCAGGAACTACATATTTCAAGGAACAATACAAAACATTAAAAATACAACATTAATCATTAATCCAATCTAAATTACCAAGGGGAATTAATTTACTAGACTTACAAACAAAACTAGAGGCACTTAGAATCAAATTTATAGGACAAGGCATTAGAAAGAAGGATGAAAATATATTTACACATTACTATATAGGGATAGGGTTAGGACAGTTAATAAAAATTGACAACAGCACACCACATTACATGGGAAGAAAACAATCGGATTTTCATATGGCATGCATCCAAGCATTAAAAGGCAACAAAACACTTATCTCAAAACAACCAAAGAAATGTACACACATTTAATGAAGAGACAAGCAACACCACTCTACAATAGGATAAAATGGACACATGTTTATGGAACAATTAACACTAAGAATACATTTAAAAATACACACATTAAAGAAATAGAAAATAAAGACAAAGAAATAACATATAGACTCATATACAACATGACACCAGTCTCATCAAGACCATACTAAGACAGGGTTAGGCACATATAATGTCCACTCTGCAGGGCAGGGGCTGATGAGCTAGAACAACATTTATATCTGACATGCAACACAATATTACAGACTAGACTTAAACAAATCGTACAACCAGGTATAGTTCCCCAGTAGATGCAGACAGCGCCATAACACTAAACACAATACCAGAATCCAAAAACAAGAAACAACACACAGTAAGTCTGATATTACTTTCACAATACAGAAAACATGTATGGCACCACAGACTTAGGCTTTTTTTCACAAACATAATTACACAAACATTACATTAGAAACACTTTTTAGATTTAAAATTCAAAACAGAATTTAAGAAAATATAATGACAGAATAATACATTCAAATAATTTGTTTATCATTCCAATTTATTTATGCATCATGTTAAATAATTCATAATAGAAACAAATGTTTAATTTAGTACACATTATTTAATTAGAATTTCAGTAATTATTTTGTCAATAGGTTATTTCAGCACATGATGTAAAACTTTGTTCAGTTAACCCTTTGGTAATTTTGCCTGTAAATTGTTTACTCTGTATATAATTGAATAATTTTGATTGAATAATTTTTTGGATCATTTATTTCCTATAATTTTATAAAACTATAAGAGATTTTGAATGATTAAGTTTTTTTGTTTTGTTTTGTTATTTGTATCAATAAATTGAACTCATCGAAGTTTAAATTTATGGAATGTTTATTTTAGATTTTTATGCAGGAACTGGTCCCCCCCCCCACACACACACTATTTGAGCATGGGGCGAGTGCTCCCTTCTCACGGCCCAGGTATGTTGTGTTGCTAGGGAGCCCCAGTGCATTGCTGTGCACAGGGCCTCCCATGTTGTTAAGTCGGTTCTGTCTAGAAGTGGTACTCTTCTACACCACCATTACTGCACAGATCACATATAAGTCGTTAGGGCTTTGGTCAGAGATTTTAATTATTACTCGGGATTAGTCCCCAGAGTTAGGCATTTTATCCCAGGAAACTGGCCAGAAGGCAAAACATAGACCAACTTGGTTTAAGTCTGACGGAGGGGCTCTCTCATATGTCCGCGCACGGCTTTAAAAAGGGGAGCACACTAAATAAGGGGGTCATTCGAGATTGGTCAGCATCCCTGCAGTGTGCCTTTGTTCAGTGCGGCCCATTGGAACGCTCTGTAAGTAGCGGCAAATACGCCATTTTATTTCTTTGTGGTTAGTAGGAACTTGTTGAGTGTTAGCATTAGAAGATTTCTGTTCAGACTTATAGCCAGGATATAGTGTAGAATAACCTACAGCGTGTAGACTTATGCTCAGGCTATTTTAAAGGTTAACATACAACCGGTAAATAAATTCTTTAATAGGATTAATAAATTAGATACCAGTGACCAGGGTGTGTGAGCGTAACAAACAACTGCATATCGTTCTGGGTACACATACTGCAATGCGCTTATAAAATAAGCTATTGATACAACAGTATACAACCAGCGAGTGTCCGTCAAATATGTGTAATAGGCTAACTTTCCTGCCGTGTGCTAAATTCTCACATAGGAAATGGTGCAT